AGGGAATAATGACAAAATCGATGATGATAACCAACCTGTTTGCTTTTACACCAATCACTCATGAAAGCTCTTTCAAGTTTTAGTACTAGACTAGGCGGTAGCTAGAGTACTTACACTACGAATACCCACCAGAGGACTTCTATTCATGAAGATTTTTTCTGACAGGATATACTAGCTCATTTTTCTGGGAATTAATCTTGACATCTAATTTTCTCATCAGTGGTTTTAAAAAAAAGGCATCATGATATACATCTAGGACATCTTTACCTTATTGTTACCACTCTTTGTTGTCCTAGATGGCCAGTTCATCTTTAGCTGGTACCACACCCTTAACCCAAACCTTTATGTTTAAACCTCATGCATTCTCTTTTTAGTTTATATCGACAGATATGTGCAAAAACGCCGGAGAGAGAGGAACAACCTAGTCTTCAGTCACTCAAGAGAAAGACTGAAAGAGACCAGAAAGGGAGTGTGCCAGAAATCGTATGATGCCTCAGAAAAGGTCATTTTAAAAGGTAAATTTTGTGCTCCCTAAGATTCTAAGTCAAAAGGCAGTTTCCCCTTTCTAAAAACAAATGAAAAAAAGAGAAAAAGAAAGAAAGGAAAAGAAACTAAGAGCCTAAAAGAGTCTTAGAAGCCGAAATCACTTGAGCCAAGGCATTAGGTATTCACTTAAGGAGTTATGGATTCACAACCTAGACAAAAATTTAAGTCTGGGGGAACTATAAGGAGAACCTGAACAAAGGAGATCAGAAATCTTAAAGCAAGAAGAATGTGACTGAAACTGTGGGGGCATTTACAGTTCCATCATCTCTTGCTGTTTTGCATAATGTCTTATCTTTCCAGAAAAAGGTAACCCTAAACACATCATTCTTACCATTAAAACGCCTTTTTGATACCTAACCTTGAATGCCTTGTTTAATATCCTTTTGATGAGAACCACTGAAACCTTTAACGAATGTTAAGAGCTAGTTGACTGGAAGTTAGTTCTAAGTGTGTGGATTTTCGCATGACGGATTAACGGACTAGTTATGTTTGTATTTTGGTGAGAATTTTCTAGACTTGATATGATTGATGCATTGTCCATAATTAAGGCCTAGAAGTATGGTTGCTGATATTTTTGAGTTCCCTCTCAATTTTATTGAATGATATTTTTCCAGAATTGATCTTGTTTTGTTTGAGGACAAACAAAGTCTTAAGTATGGGGGAGTTGATAACACCTGATTTTGACCACTTTTCACCATTGATTTCAAATGCTTTTTAAAAGGTTTTACTTAGTTTTAGGAAACTTAGGGAAAATGATGGCTAAATGGAAGAAATCCACATTTTTAGCTCAGAGTCAGACCGTCAGAAGTTCAGCCTCAAATGAAGTTTTTTCACTGTCTGATCCAGATCAAATTTGGAGACAATCAAGAGGAGACAACCAGATTTCCATAGCACTTTACATCACAAAGATCCAACGGTGCAATCAAAAGATACATGGAGAAAAAGTTGACCCAGTTCACCAGTCCCGGAAGACTCTCACCCGCGGTAAACACATGTTTTACCTGTCCTGGAAAACTCTCACCCGCGGTGGACCTTAGGACGAGCCACAAGGCCCAACATCAAAGCTGACTTCGCCATTTCTCTTCATAGAAGCCCTAAATGAGACCTGGAAAATCTTAGGACCTATAAATACATTGTTTAGCAGTCCTAAACGGGTGTGTGCTCCTGTAATGAGATTTTGAGCCACCAAACTCTGTTTTTCTAGGGTTAGGCGATGGAGATGGGGATTCTTCCCCAGATCCATTGTTCTTTCTCCTTTTTATCTTATTAACTTTTCTGTTTTTTTTTTTTTTGTTTGCATTCTTCTATGCCTTTTATCATTCATTGCATCATGTAGATTAGTCCAAGAGAGTCGAGTTGTTTGAAGATATCGACAAGCATATCTACCAATTAGGATTTCTATTGTTCTTAGCCATATTTTGGATCTCATCTCTTCTAAGTTGTTCATAAAGCATGAGAGTAGAGTCATGACCTATTCTCTGAGCCTAGGATCGATCAGAGCCACGAGAGTGCAGTATCAGATCATCAGTACCTAGCTTCAAAAGAATATAGTCGCTATAGGATTCGAGAGCTACCTATAGAGAAGATGTGAGCAGACGAATTCAATATCTAATGCATGATCTTAAGTTTAGCATGAGAGCGAGAGTTAATTGTTAGATCTAAGAGATTAGTTGATTAAAGCGACGACAGTTGGTTAATCATACATATGTCTATTCTAGTTCAATGCAAATTCCCAAAAACAGATGAAGATAAATCGCCCGGAAGCTAATTGAAAATGCCATCATACATTGATTAGAGTAATCCGGAGAAGTCTAAATCGCCACGTATGAGTTTAAGAGTCTTTAGTTTGAGACGATATGGTTTAGATGTTCTTTTAACAATTCATCCTGCATTGCATTTCTTGTGAATATTAGATTAGGTTTAGTTTAGGATCTTAACCAAAACCCCCCAAAATCTTTTATTGGTTTATGACTTTGCTTACTTCTCAGTTTGTTGTTTCTCGCAGATTAGACATCCTTCCTGTGGATCGACACCCTAAGTCTTACAATGTACATCTGTGCACTTGCAGACATTAGGGTTTTATAAATTTAAAACTTTTGGAGGACCAACGGGCTTGTTAAAAACAACCCTAGGCCTGCAAGTCCATCAGACCTCAATACAGAGCTGTTTCCCGAACCAACTTACATTTGGAGTCTCGCCGGTAAACTTCAGTAACTTACCATCACGAGACCGGATATTCAGTATGTAGTCAACTTTGTCTGTCAGCGGATGCATTCACTAGCAATCTCTGATTTTTGTCTTTTAAAATGAATCCTCCGCTACATCAAAGGAACAACTCGACTCGGGCTCCAGATTCACAAAGACACAAACATGACCCTCCCTTCTTACAATGACAGTGATTGGACTGGTTACAAGGAAACGTGACGTTCAACCACCGGATTTTTCACTCTCCTAGGCTCTAATCTAATATCATGGTCAGCCAAGCGTCAAGCCACTGTCTCCAAATCTTCCACTGAGGTGGAATATCGAGCCCTCCCTGCTGTTGCTCAAGAGCTTAACTGGCTCTCGTTTCTCCTTCGCGACTTAGGCATTCCTCAGAAGACTCAACATTGCTCCAGTGTGATAATCTCTCGGCAGTGTACTTAAGTGCGAATTCGGCTCTACATAACCATTGCCGCGTAAAGCATTCGAAGATCTCCGGGTCTAGTTTGGTGTCGCTGAGTCACCCACCCCAAATTTGAGGGGGGCTGTGAGTGATCCAAGCCCTATATTACACGAAATCTGAATACAGGCCCACGTCGAAAGCCCAACTGCAATACTTCAGAAAAGACAGAGCTCTGTTCTTCCGTACCTACAAAAGATGAAATGCAAAGTAAAGAGACGCTCCTCCTACAAAACCGTTTTGATACTCTCCAATCTGTTTCTGCATTAGCTAATTATCTTTACAGCTGTAAATTGTAGATAAGAATACCCTACTTTTGGACATTTCGTCGGAATACATCCTGTCTTTTCACCTTAGTAGTCCTATCCTTCTATAGTCTCATCTTTGTAAAGTCCTCTTTGTAAATTAAAGAGAAAAGTATTTTTACACCAAAAAGTCTCATCTTTCTCTAACTCTCACAAACTAGTGCTGACAGAATGATGTGAATAGTAGGGTGGCATCAAATAATTTGTAGCGGTGTAAGTAGTAGCCATACCGGTTTCTTTGGATCCAATCATTAACGGGAAAAAATTGAGAGAGAGAGAGAGAATTTTTCCATAGAAACACTCACAGGTTCACCGGAAACATTCAATTATATATATATATATATATTGCTAAATTATATATAAAAATTGTGTTAACAAAATAATCAACCTAAAAGCTTGGTTCCATGGCAAAGGAATAAAAAGCAAGAAAGCAAATATAATCGATATTCCATTGACACCAAAGCAATGAACAACATGTCACGCGTAGAAGCGATAAAAACTTTGAAAATTCAAAGATAGGATGATACAAAAAATAAAGGTCAAATGGTGAATAACAAGAGGAAGGACCGGGAAATAATGCCCACTTTACATAATAGAAATTGTTTCATTTGGAAACGTCCACCTTGTAGAACAGAAATCATTTTACCAGGTAGCCCAAAAAATGGCATTTCCTGAAAACATCCTCTTGGGATTGCGATTTAATTTTCAGGCTTTCAAAGGAACCTCCTAAGGGACGCCGTAACGAAGAAAAAAGCACGTGCTCATATAGTGAATAAAGCGTCGGAAATACGTGGCAAAGAGAATCTTCAAGTTCGTGTCTACAAAGGGAAAAGAAGTACATAACTTGCTGGAGTAAACAAGTGTTCACGTGCGGTCTTTACTTCGTAACTTCGTCCGTGTTGACGTGGCAACGTTTCAGTGGTCCTCCTGATCCTTTCTTTATCCGAAAAAGTTATAAAAATGATAAAGGAGTAGACGAAGCGGTCCTAATCTATGTTCACCTCTTGCAAAAGTTGTATAGAGAGAGACCAAGTTTCTGTTATACTCTCTGTTTCATTATACTCCCTCTATTTTATTATAGTTGATTTTTTAAGTTTTCTTTCTTATTTCATAATGAAAGAAAGGGAGTATTTGTTAACTAAACTAAGGTACGAAAGTCATCCATCCAATGAGATACATCCACGTCAGTATTAGCCCGCGGAAAATAGACTATGTGAGTCACACGTGATGGTTTTTATTATTTCTTTCTCATTTCCTCAAACGCGGATTTGCTGCGTTTGCCGCACATAAACGACTGAGTCGCTCTTTTTGGCTTTCTTTATTCTATTTGTTTTTTTCTTGGAGGGTTTCTCTCTTTGCTGTCTTTGATACCTTTTCAATATTCTCTTACGTTTCCTATGCCTTATTTAGAAGACTTACGCCTCTGAATACACATATCTCATCTCTATATATATATATAAAACAACAAAAGATCAGGGCATCAGGCCTTCACACATTTTATTAACACCTAAAACAAAAAAAAGGAGAAAACACCAAATAAAAAAAAAACACAAAAGAAGAGGACTTAAGTTTAAAATCAATGGCGAAGAAGGTGAGAAAGATTCACGTGACGGTGAAGCCGGTGAGACTTGATGGTTTACAGGCTATTCCCGGGGACGAAACGGCGGAAAAGAATCTTTTCGCGATGGTAGAATTAAAATGGAAAGGACCGGTCTCCGGTTTCGGATTAGGGCTCGTCCCATTTTACCGGTCGAACAGACCGGTTAACCATACGAGCTCTAAACATATTGCTTTGGGCGCCAGCTACGTGGAATGGGAGGAGGAGTTCGAACGTATTTGTTGCGTTGTTGGTCCATGGAATCTTTCCTTCAATGTCTTCTACGTGAGTTTTGTTAATTATCTTTTGTTGGATAATTAATTGAATGTTTAAATTTAGTTATGTTGAATTAATCTCTATTTGGTATTAGGGAGAGACAATAGACGTGAAAAGCAAAAAGGCTGTGATCGGAAAAGCCTCGTTGGATTTGGCGGAGTTAGCGTCGAAGCTTGAATCGACGGTGGAGAGAAAGCTTCCGATTAGGTCAAAGGGTTTACTTTCTAAGGAAGCAATTCTTGTGGTAAGCTAGTCAATTAAAATTTAAATTTAAATCACAGTTTTTAATTAATCAAAAGTCATTTCAAATTTGAATTATTCTTTGTTCTCATTGGAGTATTATATTAATCTCGGAAACATCATGGATACAATTAAAGACTTTTTTTTTTTTCAAAGGAAAAAGTAAATTAATTAACTAATCCTAATCCTTCATTAATTAAGAATTTAAGACACGCGGTTTTTGTTTATTTTAATCAGGTCAACGTGACTTTTTCCGAGGTACGAAACGAACCAGAAGACTTTACACCACTCGGTCCAATCTCAGTTGACTCAGCGATTCCGACGAGGATGACGAGTCGTCGCGACGGCAGCGACTCAGCGATGTCTTCGTCTCCGGCAACCGCATCAAGTTCCAGCGGACATAGCCCGGTTGTCGAAACCGAGTCGAATTCAAGCCCGGAGAATCAGTCTGAACCGGGTCATAAAGCCGGGTTTAATTGGTGGAAAAGACGACGGTTAAGCTTTTCTATGACATGGAGAAGAGAACCGGTAAGCATTTGGTAAACCACAACTTTTTAAAACCCGGCTCGATTTTTGACAGTTAACAACCGGTTTATTTTGCAGAGAGAGGATGAAGCTACAACGAAGATATCATCCTCAAAACCGTCGAAGACAGAACCAGAAAATCCGGCGACGGAAACAGATTTATCGATCGTGGCGAACAAATGGTTGGTAAAGGATTTAGTGAGCCGAGATGGGAAATCGAAGCTGAGATCGGAAGTTTACACGGCGTCGATTGATCAGAGAAGCGAACAAGCTGGCGGAGAAGCAGCTTGCGCGGCGGTGGCGGTGGTGGTGGCTCATTGGTTCCAAGCAAATCCTAAGCTAATCAATCCTTTAGAAACCGAATTCGATTCGCTAATCACACAAGGCTCTTCCTTATGGCAATCACTCTCCGACGAAGAATCATATTTGAGATTGTTCCCGAACAAACATTTCGACCTAGAGACGATCGTCTCCGCCAAATTACGACCGATTAGGGTTTGTACTGATAAATCATTCACAGGGTTTTTCAGCCCGGATAGATTCGCTTCGTTGGAAGGTTTAATGTCGTTTGATCAGATCTGGGACGAAGTGGAGAAAGAAGTAGCAGAGATAGCTGTAGGAGAATCTAGGGTTTATATCGTTAGCTGGAACGATCATTTCTTCGTGGTCAAGGCAGGTTTAGATAGGTTTTGTGTAATCGATTCGTTAGGGGAGAGATTGTTCGAAGGATGTAAACAAGCGTACATTCTCAAGTTTGATGATTCGAGTTTGATGTACGAGAAAGAGGAATCGTCGGAGGAGAAACTTGTTTGTAAAGGTAAAGAGTGTTGCAGAGAGTATATAAAGAGGTTTCTTGCGGCGATTCCGGTGATGGAATTGGCGGCGAAGGAGGAGAAAGGGAATGTAGCAGTGGATGTGTCTCTTCTTCATGAGAAACTTCAGATTGATTTGCATCATATTATGTTGACTAGTGATTAGAGCTTTGTTTTTTTTCTTGTTTCTGACTATTTTGGTTTAGTGTAGCTTTTGTTAGGATGGTTAGATTAGAGTGAGTATTTTGTACATATGGTTCGTTTATAATCTGTTGGGAAAAATGTAATTAAAAGTTTTGATTTGTCTTGGAGACTTGGGGTATAACTTAGATCCAGTGCAATTGCAAATAGACTCACAAAGGCCAAATAGACCAACAGTGACTGCAGTCTACAGTTTTTGTCGAGCAGACTGACTAGTGGAACAGGTTACAAAGAAAAGTTGTTAAAACCGATTGCGTACCTACGTAAAGTCGGAAAGATAGTTGCCAATCCACTAGACAACCTTAAAAATGTGTGGAAAATTGGGCTGATATGATTTTTTCTTGTTATAGTTCCTCCTACCTCTGCACTGATCACTATATTTGGAGATCACCATTGAAGCGATTGGCACATCAATTCTATTGGCCGTCAATACATAAAAAATTTGTTAAAACCGATTGCGTGCCTACGTAAAGTCGGAAAGATAGTTGCCAATCCACCAAACAACCTTAAATATGTGGAAAATTGGGCTCATATGATTTTTTCTTGTTATAGTTCCTCCTACCTCTGCACTGATCACTATTTGGAGATCACCATTGAAGCGATTGGCATATCAATTCTATTGGCCGTCAATGCATAAAAAATTTGAGATTATATATCCTTGTGTGTGACAACTTGTTACTTGTCATAAGGGTAAATGAAACATATTTGCACATACATGTTTGCTGCAAGGACTGCCAGACTCCAAGCCTTGTGTGGAAAAGCATAGTTATGAATTTTAGAAGTGAAATGGATAGACATACAAACTACAAACACAGATTTGAGCATCTCCTCGTCTTCCCTCTTTTCACCGGTGCTGGTCCCTGGCAGCCGATGTCGGCCACCTCAATGGCTAAGAAATATCACGCCCACCCCTCTCCCCTAAAATCCCCAAACCTCCAAATCTTCCGCTCCCCAATCTCCCTAATCTGGCGCCCTCCTTCAAATCACCGCCGCTGCTAGTCCCTAGCTCCTCTGCAGACCCCTCACGCCCCTCCGGCAGACCCTCTTGCCTTTCTGCTTCGATCAGAAAAGCAGATATGGGTTGTTTCCTCTCCCAAGATCTTTTTCCTCTTTTGGGTTCTCCAGCGGCATCAGCTGCCCACGTGAAGCCTGGGAGTGACCTTCTGAGATCCGGGTTGCCTCTTCCGCTCTCCTCTGATGTCAACTCAGCCTCTGCTGATGTTGGAGCTCTTGATCCGACCCCTATCAATACCAGTTCCTGGAGTGAACTTGTCCAAGGTTCCAATAGGAAGATGTCAAAGAAAGGTACCTCCTTTTGACTCCAGTGAGATTTGTGTCTCCATCCCCAACTCTTTCATAGAGAAAAATGAGCATCGATGGGAAGCCTTAATCATCGCGTAATCCCATGGTAGAGCTCCCTCCCCTGGTGCCCTTCATGCTATCACCAATGGCATTTGGAGTAACAAGCTGCATAACATCATTGTCTCCAAGCTCCCTAATCGATCTTTCCTGATCAAAATTCCCTGAACTATCACCCGTCAGTGAGTTTTAGCTCAGGGCATGTATTAGAGGATATTCCTATATTAGAAGATACACTTGTATATTCTCTAGAGATTCTTTCCTGATTGTGTTAGGGCTCTAGTCTCTTTCTCTTGTATAAATAGCCAACCCTATGAACGATGTAAACACACAGAAATAATATTGAGTTTACAAGTTTTGTCATGGTATCAGAGCAATCGATCTGACAGACCTAGTTCAAATTTTTTTTTTCTTCTCTCTGCTGTGCCTGTCCCTCGACGGTGCTGCAAGTCAATTTTTTTTGGGTTTCTCCGCCGCGTCTCTCGACCGGCTGCAGTTTCTCCGCCGCGTCTCTCGACCGGTTGTCTGTTTTCTCCGCTGAGTCTCTCTACAGACTGAGTTCTCTGCAACCTCTGTTTTTCATAATTAAAACAGAGCATTAAGCCTCTCGGCGTTCTCTTCGTCTTGACATCATCATGGCCGTCGTTCCAAAAGAAGCCACCTACAAGACGATCTCTCCTTTTGATCTCACCTCCGGGGATAACCCTGGTGCTGTAATTTCACAGCCGCTTCTCAACGGTTTGAATTACGATGAATGGGCTCGTAATCTGCGAATGGCGCTGAGCTCCAGAAAGAAGTTTGGTTTTTTGGATGGGAGTATTCCGAAACCAAAGGATGGTGATGCAACTCTCGAGGATTGGACAGCAAACAATCATCTGCTCGTCGGTTGGATCAAGTTGACGATCGAACCTAGGCTTCGCTCCTCCATCTCCACTCGTGAGGTCACGAAAGATCTGTGGGATATCATTAAAAAGCGTTTTTCGGTGAAGAGTGGTGCTCGTTTACAGCAGCTTCGGAACTCTCTTGCTACATATAAACAAAACGGAGCTTCTGTGGATGATTACTTTGGTCGCCTCACCAAAATTTGGGACGCCATTGAAGAATGTATGAACTCCAAACGGTGTACGTGTGGCAAGTGTGAATGCGATCTAAATGCAGCTCATGACAAGGAGAGAGAAACTCTTCGGGTGCACGATTTTCTTTCAGGGCTTGACGATTCCATCCACGGGGTTATTCGCTCTCAAATCTGTGCTATCTCTCCTCTTCCCGATCTTGGCAGTGTCTATCAGACCATTTTGCAGAACGAAACGGTTCGTGCCAATGCGACTGCAGAAGTTGCGGTGATGGGATTCGCTTCTCAAGCTACTCCCGAGTCTCGTCAAACTCCTCCGGTGTGGACTCGTGACGTTACGCCGTCTGGTGCTTCTCGAGGTGGGTTAAATACTCGCGATCCAACTCGCGTCTGCGCCGCTTGTGGCAAGCTGGGTCATGAATCGACGACGTGCTTCAAAGTGATTGGGTACCCTGATTGGTGGACTGATAAGCAGCGAAACAGAGGTGGTGGTAGGGGCTCTGCGACAGGTCGTGGAAATGGTGGAGCTCCTCGTGCGAATGTGACTCAGATCTCTGCAGCTAACTCTGCCATTGCTGGGTCTCCAGTGATGATTACCGACAGTGATCGACAAGGTTTGGCTGGGCTTACTGATGAACAATGGAGTGTGGTCAAGCGGATGATCAATGCGGGCAAGCCTGTTTCGGATTCTGGTGGTAAGAATAATGATACAATATGGATATTAGATACTGGAGCCACACATCACATGACAGGTTGTCTTGATTTGTTGACGGATCTCCGAGATATATCTCCTCTCCCGGTCATACTACCTGCTGGATCGAATGCATGTGCATCGAAACAGGGGACAGTCCATCTTACCTCGGGCGTTTCTTTGAAAGATGTTTTTTACATTGACGGATTTCATACGAATCTTATCTCGTATGGCCAACTTGTCACCGATAACTATCTAGTCGGTCAGGCTACTGATAAGCTGATGATTTTGCAGGATCGCAATACCAGGATGCTGATTGGAGCGGGTGAGCGAGAGAGAGAGGGACTTTACCGTTTTCGGGGCATTGAGACTTTGGCTGTGTTTCAGACGAGTGTTCGCGAGGATACAATGTTGTGGCATCAGCGTCTTGGTCATCCGTCGTCCCAGATCACCGGAATCGTCCCTGGAGCTAGTAGTTCGTCTAGTAGTACTGATTTTTCTCTTAAACATTGTGATGTCTGTGTTAGAGCTAAACAAACTCGACAGTCTTTTCCGGATAGTTTGAATAATGCATTAGCAGTTTTTGATTTGATACATGTTGACTTATGGGGACCCTATCGTACTACGGCGTTCTGTGGTTCACGATATTTTTTAACCATTGTCGATGACTATTCGAGGGCTGTCTGGCTCTATCTCCTCGCTGATAAGGCAATGGTTTCTCAACAGATCCGCAATTTTCTTGCCATGATCGAAAGACAATTTGACAAGAAGGTTAAAACTATACGAACTGATAACGGGACTGAGTTTACGTGTCTCACACAGTTTTTTCGCGAACAAGGCATCATACACGAAACATCTTGTGTCCATACACCGCAACAGAACGGTCGTGTTGAACGCAAGCACCGACATATCTTGAATGTTGCCAGGGCTCTTCGTTTTCAAGCAAATCTTCCGATTGAATATTGGGGGAGTGTGTACTCACAGCAGGGTATCTAATCAACCGAACTCCTTCGGTGTTGCTTCAGAATAAAACCCCTTTCGAGAAGCTCTATGGTCATGCACCGGGTTATAAACACATACGTGTTCTCGGTTGCCTTGCTTATGCTCACAATTGTGATCATAAAGGTGATAAATTTGCTCCACGAAGTCGACGCTGTGTATTCTTGGGCTATCCTTATGGAAAGAAAGGCTGGAAACTATATGATTTGGAACGTCACACTGTTATCACTTCTCGGGATGTGGTTTTTCATGAGCAGACGTTTCCTTTTGCTACTTCTGAATCTCCACCATTGTTGGAACATACCACATTATCTTCTCCTCTGACGAACACCGCTACTGATGATCCCATAGACGTGGCTCCAATGATGAATGATCGAAATAGTGATCCTGTTTCTAGTGAATCTGACTCTGCCCCTCCAACAGAACCGGTTTTAGCTGTTGATACTAATGCTTCTGATCAAGTTGTGGAAGACTCATCTGATATTATAGAGGAACCTCTGGGCCGAGGGCATCGTGTTCGGATTCCGAATGTCAAGCTACGTGATTTTATTGTTGAGTCCTTGTCAGCTTCGACTCCTCCACTCTCTCTCGCTCCCGATGAACCCGCTCCTCAGCCATCCTCAGGTTCCCTCTATCCTCTGTCTAATTATGTTTCTATTGATCGGTTTTCCCCTAATCATCGCAAGTTTATATTGGCCTTAACTACTAATATTGAGCCTCGATCATTTCAAGAGGCCATGAAACAGAAACATTGGGAACAAGCGGTGCATTTGGAGTATAATTCTCTAGAGGAATTGCAAACATGGAGACTTGAGGATTTACCTCCGGACAAGAAAGCACTTGGGTGCAAATGGGTTTTTACGACGAAATAGAGATCCGATGGTTCGATTGAACGATATAAAGCCCGTCTTGTCGTTCTTGGTAATCATCAAGAAGAAGGTTTTGATTATGAGGAGACTTTTGCACCAGTGGCAATGATGAAGACGGTTCGC